GCAATAATTTCCGGAGATCACGTACCATATTGAGACTTCAAAAACATTCCTGAACCACAACATTGGAGTTGGCCATGAGCCAAGATAGCAATTCTGAAAACGAATGGTATAACATATCGCTCTGAAGAATTCCAGTTGTTGTATCACCTATCGCCGAGCAAATCGGCTTCTTCCATGAAATGCGTCGTCAGCAGAATCGTCCGTCGGCTTTTCTCTGCCTGTAGAAGAGTCCAGGTCTCGTGACGTGCTCCAGGATCCATACCGGATGTTGGTTCGTCAAGCATCACTATCTAGAATGCATTATTCAACTCGAAATTCCCTTAACGAGCGAGGACACTATAGAATTGTCCGTCGTCCCCATTCAAATGTAGCTTGGCAACTTTGAACGTTCCCAACAGCGCTGGCATCTTTTATCAGGTTGATACGGTTCTCAGAAAGGTAGGTCTAAATTCCGCTGCATTGGGAGCTTTATCCGTGGCAAGTACATATGGACCAACGGAACTCCTTTACTACATTATAGTCCCATTGTTCCTCCCTCTCCCCCTTGGCATATATCCAATCCCTTTGCTACACCAAATGTGATATGCTCACCTCAGATCCGCCGATGAGAGCGATGGCCAACGAGAGCTTTCGCTTCTGACCACCAGATAAAGTACCAGCTCTGGCGTGCATTTTGAAGTCAATTTTAAGCCGTGTAAGGATGTCGACGGCTTCCTTCTCAAAGTACTCTCGACCCTAAAAATTGCAGCGATAATGTTGAACATCCGAAAAATCAGAAGGCTTTTAAGTTCTGTAATGGATAGACGAGTTTGAACTGGATTTTTTATGATGACATATGTGATGAATCATTGCAATTTTGCTTACTGAATTATTCATTTCTCTGAGGGTTTCAGACTGTCTTGTGCCTAACAAGTCTATCAGGTGAACTCTAAATAATTTGCTGACCTCGCAATATTTCCACTAAATTCGCCGTCTTCAGAAGCCTTAACATACTGATTCCCTAAAAGAAGCCAACGGCGCAACCATTCGCACATAAACAGACGTGATAGGGGTTTGCATATAGACGTTAAGGTGCTGAATAACTCAGTGAAGAAAAAAAAGCAGAAAAAAACATGACAGCTGCCCCAGATAGAACCCCATTTCGATCTTAGTTCGTACGTGCCCAGTTAACTCCTCTCCAACTCTACGCCCCCATCCGCACATTATCACATTGAATTTCCGATAAAAAATTGCTCCGCCTTTACAAGTGACGATTTCCATGCTTTTTCGCACCTGCAGCCTCGTTTCTATTGAGGAGCGGGCTGAAGGCGGAGTCTGGAGGCGGAGTCACTAGAAAAAAAAGAGGGCGTCGAACTGCTCGCTCGCTCGCTTGCTGAACTGAAACTGAACTTACTGAACTTTTGTCGCAAAACGGATACAAGGTTGTTCGTCGCGGATCACACTAGCCTGCCGTTGCCATATTTTCAAGTTCTACCCCTCACTGCGGACCGGGCCTTCAACTAACGCCCTGTCAACTCTAGCGGTTCCGACATTGTATCGAGAACCCCGCAGAAGTCACTAGTACCGTTAAACGAGTTCACCGACGGCCTCCACCGTTTAAGAAGTCGCTACCATACGAAGAAGGCTTGTCAGTTCTAACTAAATATTACTACATTTTCCAGTCCTATTTTTTATCTTTCTGTTACTCATGTATTGGTATATTTATTTGTTTTAGAATCGATGCCAACATCATAGCAGACCTGTCGACGAGTGTGGGACCAGGTCGAAATGGTGTTGTGCCCTACTCTGCTCACTTATGAGGACTCACACCTAAATGTTGATATCGTGGCAATCCGGCGGGGCGGTAACTGGAGGCGTGAAATGAGCTCAATACCGTTGCGTTTTTCTCTGTCTTCACAGTCTTCTAACTTGATCGCAACTCACACTGGATTGCCAGCTGGGCAGTCTCGTACCATGTTGATCATATTCCCAGAGCTACGGGAAGAAATGAGTATGGACTGAGGGTCGTGCTGACTCCGAGACTGCGCTCACTAGAATTGGCTTTTAGAATACCCAAGGTGAGGCACAACGCTTGACACTAATGGTAAGATGAATAATTCTCTCGAGAAAGGAAACAGAAAAAGAAGGGGAGAGGAAACAGAGAGAGAGGAGAACATCCTCGAGAAAGAGCAGGCTAGAGGGGCTAAAGAGGATGATCAATTCGTTCGAAGTGGCAATGCATTCTCTTATCCTGATGTAGAGTTCAGCAAGTTTCGGGTATTCACTTGTTAGAAAACTTCCCTTTCTACTCAAGTTTCTACAACTTTCCCTGACAGAGGTCACATGCGAGTCCGGAGCAAACGACATAGCCAGTGAGAAAATCAAAGCTTTGAAGAGTTTTGGATAGAACCCACCTTCAACTTGCAGAAGAATTCCAAATGTTCCATAACAGTTAATGAATTGAACAAGATATTGTACTGTGGGCAGAGGCCAGTTTGCTTCCGAACTTGCGGTAAACTTGTGCGGATGTCATAATCATCGATGTAGGCAGTGCCTGACGATGGTGAAGTCACACCTGAAAGAGGGCGGGTCTTTTTACGAAATTTTGCACAACACAACAGTGCAACGTCTCATACCTGTTAGCATGCTGAAAGTCGTACTTTTGCCGGCTCCATTATGTCCTAACAATGCCGTGATCTGGCCATGGTACAACTTCAGGTTCAGATCGTCGACCGCTTTCTTCTCACTCAGTTTTCCAAATTGGCAGTCGAAAAGCTTCTTGAAAATCGATGTGCCGTAGGTTTTTGACAAGCCGACCACGTTGACCATTGCCTTGAATTCAGGTGAGTTATCGAAGCTGCAATGAGGCCTAGACTTGGTATCACCTTTAGATCTGGCTCCTTCTCCAACTTGACAAAATCTCTCTCCTTCGATGGAGCATCTCTGACAGCTTGTGATGCAGTGCTCTTCCTACCTTGGCTGCTTGGAAACCAGTAGGACTTCTGTGGAAAAATTGTGAAATCACCGTAACAAAACAGAATGAGAAGATGGACAACAGACAAAGTCTCACGCATGTATAAAACAGTAATTTCTGGGTGGGATCGTAACCAGAGCGAAGGTCTAGTGAAGATTTCTATAATTCAATGAATACACCGTACACTGACCTGATCCTCGCCATGTACGAAGTGAACAGATCAGCAACTGAAGAAGTGCGCCCCTTTGGTTGCGCGAAAATGAGGTTGGAGCTTAGAGGTGGCTAGATGATCTCTGGTGCTCGCCCGCAGGCAAAGCACGCAGCCCTTACATGCATCCCTCCCAGCTGTATGCCCAGCCGACCAGTTGCGCTTCTTGCCTACGCTCTTCTCGTTTGGTAAAGGTATCTGGCAGGATAATTTGGTTATCGGTCTAAAATGCTAGCAGGAGTGCTATATAGTGGGCAAATAGCGATAAAATAAAGTAAAACTGTCAAAAACCTACAGAAAAGCCTTTGTTCTGCTTGACTCAGAAAGCAGTTTTGAACCAGTTTTCCGTTGGCATCTTGCCAGTGACCGCTACGGAACGGCTGCACGTATGTACTCATATATCCATGCAGCACCGCAGCCGCTTCATATCAATCCCTTCGCTTCATATTGTACTTCGCAAATGAAGCGATACGAGCACCAGGAACGGTTGACATTTGTGGGCGGGCGGGCGTTTGGCGGCCGGGTCGGTATGTTACAGCCTGGAGGGGCGCTATGAGGATACCTTTCTTGGAAAAGGCGCCATGCAGCGCTTAGTCAGGAGCACCGAATTATGTATGTCCTGCTAGGCGTATTTATCCCACACCCTCTTTATCCCACGTCTTGAGGACTTATCGTGCCACTTACCTTCAAACATTGCAACTTTTCACGCACGATAGCCAGTCCCTCCGAAAAAGCTCATCTCCTGGCTTACGACGTGTATTTGCGTCTTTAGATGCACTGGTAGCCGCATTCCTTTATTACTTTGCAGGACTCTGACTAAAAGTTCTACTTGACGGCCAGGACCCTCCCTGAAAGTTCTAGTTGGCACGTAACCGTCGAGTCGCGACCCAGACGACGTGTTTCCTTCACTACGTATCAGCTTCATCTCTGCGCCCTTCCAAATGGCAACAGTAGCGCACTTCTTCGTTTGCGAACCTGCTCCACATGGCATGGATCCACCTCTCAGGTAAGAGTACAGCTTGACTTTAGGGAGATCGCCCGAATGGAGATTGGATGTGTAGTCACTGCCAATGGTTCTGAGGTCTTTGACACGTCTCCTCGCTGTATTCAAACTTAATATGTGACACGGTGCACTGTGGCAGACCGGCCTTCCCGGCCCCCTTCCCCTCCGCTTTTGCTCTGCTTTTGATGGCAACTTTTCAGAAGATCTACAAGTATAGAGAGTGAGCTCATTCGAGTGTAGGAATCATATAGCCTTGGGTAGGAGT